TTCCTACGGGATTGAGGTAGCCTTGACCAATTAAATATGTAATCTTTGGATTTCAATTTAGGGAAATAACATTGTATGTAATTGATTTCATGAATAAGGTGATGGTTTACATTGAAATTAGTGTTTTTACATTGAAGTGATGTATGATCTGAACTGAATTCATATATATGAGTATGTCTACATGCAATTCTTGTCTTAGAACCATATTTACATATTTATACTATTGATATTCTCATAGTAACAATGAGGATTGATTTCATAAAATGGTTTTATAGACATGTCATGTAGGAATTTAGATAAATTATGCTAAGGGAAGATAGACCATGCTACACCTTTAGATTAATGTAGTTAGGTAGATGGTCCATACCTACCAAAGATAGTTTATGCTAGATGATTTACTTTCATGTGCTAAAACTTACAAATTCAGAACCTTGATAGGCCATGCCTAGGGAAGATGGTTCATACCACAACCTAGTTTAGGTGGATGAGCCATACCAACCAAAGATAGGTTATGCTTAGTTTTGATTTGTATGAATTTCTGGAAATTATTGTAGTTGTTGAATGCTTCTACATATTATATTTACATATAATTGTTTTCCCCAAGTTGATTGCATTGTAATATGTTTATGAGGTCTTAGTGAACTCGATTCCCTAGTCTCCTCTATTTGTTCATTCAATTTTTGAATTCGTTTTAATTATGTTTTAAGTTTATTATATGATAAGTGACAAACAAACCAATATTCAAACCAATCTGTGACACTTTACAAACTCGAAATTAATCTTTAAAGTTTGATTGCCATAAGCTAGCAATCTCCCTAGATCGATACCCTTACTTAGCCATTCTCTACATGAATTTTGTGCTATAGTTAGTGGTTTATTATTGACACTGATCAATTTTTGGCGCCATTGCCAGGGATTGCAATCGGCTTTGTAATAAAAAAAATTAAATATTAAATTTAATTTGGTTATAATTATAATTTTTGTATATATTTTTCTGTTTTTAATTTGTTTTCCAAGTTCTTAAGTGCAGGAGTTGAAGCAAAAGGGGCTGCTTAGAGGTGTTGATTCTAATTTTTTTTTTTTTAAATTCTAAAAATTCTGGGAATTAACACCCTTTGTAAGTATTTCAAGTTGATTTTTGCTGCACTTGAAAGTTTGGCTGTATGTGCTTTACTTGGATGTATGTTAGTTGATGTTGGGTTGTAGATCTTTGATATTGCCAATTTTAGAAGAACAAGTTAACATAACTTCATTAGAAAAAACTCTTAGACAACAAAGAAAGAACCTTAGGGATCCTGAGACTATAAGAGAACTTGAAGCTGAAGTTGACAACATGGCTGGAAATCTTGAAAATGTTAGAGTTGAAGATCCTAGATTTAAAAATGCTAAAATTGCAAATGAAAATGTAGCACCCATGACTCTTAGGGACCATTTCATCCCATCAACATATATATCTCCATCATGCATCATCATGCCCAATGTCGATACCCATCATTATGAAATCAATCCAACATAATCCAAATGCTTCCATCTTATCATGGGTTTGATAATGAGGACCCTTATAAATATCTTGACGAGTTCCTGAAAATATGCTCCACCATTAGTATGAGGGACTTCCCTCAACAAGTACTCCGTATGCGTCTCTTCACATTCTCCTTAAAAGATAGGGCAAAATATTGGTTGAACTCCCTTATTGCACATTCTACCACCATATGGGCCCAATTGCAACAAGAATTCCTAAAAAAATACTATCCAGTGGGGAAAACCAATCAAATGCGTCATTCCAGTCTTAACTTATCCCAAATAGATAGGGAACAATTCTATGAGACATGGGAAAGATTCCAAGATCTTCTTAGGAAGTGTCCGCAACACCAAATTCCTAATTGGTGCAAGCCTTCTATGATGGTTTAATCGAACCACATAGACAAGTCATTGATTCTTCTTGTGGGGTATGTTCATGTCCAAAAATGCAGATGAAGGTTGGACCTTACTTGAGAATATGAGCGATAATTTTGTGCAACATAATTCTCGTAGGGCTCCTATTTCTACCGTGCCAACCACAGACTCTAAGGGAAGAATCTTCTCAAGTGGATGCCATAGTCCACCAAGTTTTTCAGCTAGTGGCACCATATCTCTCCTCTTCTCAAAATTCTTCATCAAATGCTATGTGTGCATCTTGCACAAACACTTTTTATCTTGAAATAGATTGCCTCACATTGGAGCAATTTTCTAGAGGTACAAAGCAGGCTAATGCCATGTTCTTTCGTCGTGGACATAATCCGTATTCCAATACACATAATTAGTGATGGAGAGATCACCCGAATTTCTTGTGGAGGCAACCAGCCCCCCACAAAATTCAGTATTCCAAGGTTATGGGCAACAAAATCAATCCAATTCTCAACCTATGAACCGACCATTCCAAACTTCTACAAGCTACTATCTTCCTTCTTATAATCAAAGCTCTTCAAATGAAAATTTTGCTCCTCTTTACCAATCCTAATTGGATGAGGTTTTAAACACCAACACGCAAATCATGGCTGCCCTTAATGGTATGCAATCAATGATGCAACTGGTTAATACTAATTCCCAATCAATAGCCAAAATTGAAGCCCAGCTGGGACAATTGGCTACTTCTGTGAATCAGCTTTATAAGAGGGACACAGGTAAACTTCCAGCTCAACCTATGGTAAACCCAAAAGGGCAATTTGTGATTGATGAAATCCCTCCTCCGAGGGGACCACATTATGAGCAAGTCCATACAATCACCACCCTTCAGAGTGGAAGAGTTGTGGATAACAAGGTTGGTGGAAAGACTAAAATTCTTACCCTCAAGGATTCAAGTCTTCCACCCAAAAATCTGAAAATCAGTCCAGAAATTCCAAATCCACCAATCCCAAGTGTTGAGACATCTTATGAGCCCAAGGCTCTGTTTCCTTAACGCCTCAAAAAGTCCACACACTTTGGGAACAAGGGTGATAAAATTTAGGATATGTTGGAAGTCTTTAGGCAAGTAAAGATTACATTCCTCTTCTCGATGCTATCAAGCAAATTCCACCTTATGCTAAATTTTTTAAAGATTTGTGTACTCAAAAACGCATTTCTAATAACAATACTCCAAAGAAGATGATGTTAACTGAGCAGGTGAGTGCTATCATTCAGCACAATACACCTCCAAAGTTTAAGGATCGTGATACCCCTCGACTCCGAGACATGGATTGATCAGGCCTAAGCTCAAACCCGAGGGAAATATCAAACAATTAAGGTAATAAACAAGTATATAATATAAAATGAAATAAGAATAAAGAATAAAGCATTTAAAAAAAAAAAGAAAACTAAATAATAAATCCTCCATTAAAATAATCCAATAGAATAATCCTCCATAAATCCAAATCCTGTGATACCAGTAACCAACTAGATTATAACTCGGGAATCTATCATGTGGACCCCTAATCCAAATCTCAACTAAAATAAATAAAGAAATCCAAGAACTAAAACATAAAGAAGAATCCTACGTAGAATCAGAAGAGTGAATAGACTGTCTTTGCTCAGATCGAATAATCTTTAAGTCTGGAACTGACAAAACACCTGTAAAATAATGTTGGATCAGGCCCACAAATAAGTTCTAATCTATTACATCCTAAGCATCTATCTGTTGTTATGATGCTTCCAAGTGGAACGATCGATTTTTGCCAAATGGAATGTTTGATTTGTGCCGCCATATGTCCCATTCAGCAGTAATTTTCCAACTGTAGAAAACTGCTTCCTTCTCTACCTACCACATGTCCACTTGGAAAGTCACACATCTTCCCAACTGCAGGTAACTACTTCCCTCTTTGGATGACACGTGTCCCATTCAGTAGCAACTTTCTAACTATAGAAAACTGCATCCTTCTCTGCCTACCACATGTCCACTTAGAAAGTCACACGCCTTTCCAACTGCAGGTAACTACTTTCCTCTTTGGCTGACACGTGTCCCTATGTAGTTACTTGTTCTAAATATCTTCATTTGATGAAGCCACGTGTTGCTGCATGATTGCACCTTATTTGCATATAACCCTTCCAATTAGAAACGTTCACCCTTTTAATTGGAAATACTCACCATTCCATTGGGGTCGGCCATGACAACCAGGGACGGAGCTAATGAAGGTCTGGAACACGTGCCCCCCCTAAATTGGCCCATACTCTATAATATATGTGATAATTTTTTTTTAATTTTTTCCATTTATATAAAAAAAATTATACAGTGCCCCTTAAATTTTGTGGTTCCTAAAATTATCTCTATATTTTTTCTCACTCTTCAAATTCTTTAAATTTCTTTAATAGAAAAAGTCAAATTTTTCTTCCTCAATTGAAACTTTTTAATTTTTTCTTTTTAAAGTTCTCTAATTTTTCTTTTTCTACTTCGACTCTTAAAATTCTTCTTTTTAACATGCATATTTGAATAATTTTCTTCTTCTTTGTCTTTTTAATTTTATAGTTATTATATTATATATATATACACTCTGTATTATTTATTATTATTATTATTTTTTGATTGCGTGCTCCCCTCACTTAAAATCCTAACTCCGTCCGTAAAATCCTAACTCCGTCCGTAATGACAACCTTTCCAACTAAAAGACTTATGGTACAAACAGTCGTATTTGGGGCTTACTAGAAGCTATTTGTTTTTATTTGAGGGAGGGGGAAATTGAACGTCCATAATCATGATTATGATGCTAATTAATTAGGTGTGGTCCTGAAGAAGAATTAAAATAGAAAAAAAAAAAAAAAAAAAAAAAAAAAAACAAACAGCAGCAACGGTACAAATTGTCCAACAACTTTGATTAAAAGTTCACGGACAAAGAAACAATATATTATTCAAAAAAAGAAAAAGTAAAAAAGACAAACCAGAAAATGTTAGTCAAACTGACTCATCATTAAAAAACATTTTCGAAACGCCGGTCAACCAAAGTTGTCCACCAATGGAAAGCTAGCCTTCACGTCCTCACCCCCTATATCTTTACTTTCTCCCCCATCTCGATCTGCATCCCTTTCTACTCGATCTGCATGTACAGGACTCTGTGTGTGCGTGTTTCATAGAGAGAAAGAGAGATGGATGAGGTGGTTGAGGAAAATGGTGCGTCTAGGACAGTGGACGCGCCATCTCCGGTGGTCTCAGCCCCTCCTCCTGCTCTGGAGTCGACGCAATACAATACACCATCATTGTCAAGAAAACCATTACTCATGTCAATAGAACATCCAAATGCTGCAGCCAACAAAAGTAGTACTCCAAAGCCGTCGGCTTCTCGAACTCCCAATAGCTTCATGACACCGTTGGGTAGCCCCATAAGGAGAGCAATCCAATTGACAAAGCTTGATCCTCAAGATGCTTGGCTTCCCATCACCGAGTCCAGAAATGGCAACGCATACTATGCCGCCTTCCACACTCTTTGTTCTGGTATTGGAATCCAAGCACTTGTACTCCCTGTTGCCTTCACTGTTCTTGGCTGGTAAGCCTTAATTTTCATCTGCTTCATTATTTTTCAAACTCCAATATTTCATTTTCTATTCAAGTTTTCACTAGTAGAGTGCTTCTTTTTTAGCAATCAAAAAACAATGGTTTATAAAATTAGTTACTCGCCTTACAGAAATTTTAGCTTAGCTACATGGTGCATGTTCTAAAATTAACTTTGGGTGCTAATTTTATTACTTTTTTTCTTTCTATTTTTTATACTCTTTACATGGTAAGGTACCTACAATGGAGGATAGAAGCCTTGTTAGCCCCCGCGCACACACACACGTACATATATATATATATAGGAGTACATTATATGGTGTCCGCTTTCTAGTGAAAGTGTTGGATATGGGGGAGATATCGAAAATATAGGATCAGTTTGATTTGTCACCCATAAAATAAGTACTTAAAATTATTTTTAAGAAATTATAAAAAATATTTTTCTGAAAATAATTTATTTTTATTTTTTTGTGTTTTAGAAAACAGATCTCAAGATTTTATACACTTTAAGATTTTCAGTTCTTAAAAATAGAATATCCAATTGTTATTTCTTGTTATTGATAATAATAGAGTTTTGATTGACAGAGGCTACTTACGTGGTAGAGCATTGAAAATTTCAAACAGGAGGAAAAAATCAACCATAAAACTTTATTTTGCAGAAATTGTGTGCTTTCACATGTGAGTCATGCAATTGGGTCCCATATAGTCACGCGGTTTTGGAAAGCCCGTGATCATACATACATCTTTGATATATATATATAAGCACGGGTTTCATAAGTTTGGCTGATTCTACGGATTGATTGATTGTTTGGTAAATTAATGGATCCATATATACGCGTACTGTTGCAGGGCTTGGGGAGTGATAAGTTTGACAATAGCATTCGTATGGCAACTCTATACACTCCGCCTCTTGGTCAGGCTTCATGAATCCAATGAAACTGGGATGCGATACAGCAGATATCTCCAACTCTTCAGTGCTACTTTTGGTATACATTCATTAACATTAATATTATTCAGTTTGCATTGTCCCAATTCTTCAACCTATATATAAGGTATCGTGCAACCACTTGTCTTTTGGACTTGCAGAGGTAAATTCCTGACTACTCACTTCGATTTCACAGTGCAAGTAATATTTTAAATCAGGAATTTACAGAGCTAGAGGAGAATCGAACCCATACCCAAGTGATATAGTTGTCTAGCACTTAGAGGCGCCCCCTCCCACCAACTCTGCTAGCGCCCCTGAGGGTGATAACTATATATTGACAGATGATATCTAGTTAATTTATTGGAATTTAATACATAAGTTAGAAACTTTGAATTATAGAATAATAATTTAGAGTCTTAATTAGCTTGCTTAATTAATTTCATTTGTGCAGGTGACAAGATGGGGAAGTTCTTTGCAATGTTTCCAATCATGTACCTATCAGGTGGCACCTGTGTTGCGCTCATAATAATTGGTGGTTCAACCATGAAGCTTTTCTTCCAAATAGTATGTGGTGGGCATGGTTGCTCTGCCAAGCCATTAACAACCGTGGAGTGGTATTTGGTGTTTACATGTGCGGCTGTTCTTTTGTCTCAGTTGCCTAACTTGAATTCGATCGCCGGAGTCTCTCTGGTCGGGGCTGTCACGGCAATCGGATACTGTACCATTATGTGGATAGTGTCAGTCACTGAGGGTAGACTTGATGGGGTTTCCTATGACCGAGTTGAACCAGCCTCTAATGTTGTTTGGATTTTTGGCATTCTAAATTCCCTTGGGATCATTGCTTTTGCTTTCAGAGGCCATAATCTTACACTCGAAATTCAGGTATGTATCAACCATAATACCCTTTTAATTCATCGTTTGTATGTCAGCTACTAATTAGCTCAAGACCATGTAATAATTTCTGAGCGTGTTTGACCTTCTTTCCTCTGATATGACGTACGTACACTCTTGGTTGCAGGCAACCATGCCTTCAAGTGAAAAGAATCCATCCCATATTCCAATGTGGAGAGGAGTCCAATTTGCATATCTAGTCATTGCAATGTGCTTGTTTCCCCTTGCAATAGGAGGTTATTGGGCTTATGGCCACAAGGTATATATATGTGTGTGTGTCTGTTTTTAATTTAGTTACTCTACATGTGCACAAATTTATCAAGTCATGAAACATGATCATATTCATCTATCTTCTTGTTTCAGATTCCTGAAAATGGAGGAATGCTAACTGCAATCTATCAATTCCATGGTAGAGATACTTCCCAGACTATTCTGGCATTAACTAGCTTATTGGTCATAATTAATGCTGTAAGCTCATTCCAACTCTATGGCATGCCAATGTTCGATGACATGGAGTCCAAATACACCAGCAGGAAAAATAAGCCATGCCCATGGTGGCTAAGGGCAGTGTTTCGTGCCATGTTTGGTTACGGTTGCTTCTTTGTTGCAGTGGCAATCCCCTTCTTGGGAAGCTTGGCAGGCCTCATTGGAGGTGTCGCGGTACCTGTAACCTTTGCCTATCCCTGTTTTATGTGGTTAAAGATAAAGAAGCCCAGGAAACATAGCTTTTCGTGGTGGCTCAACTGGGGACTGGGACTCTCCGGCATGCTTCTGAGCATTCTGCTGATTTCTGCAGGGGTATATGTTGTGATTGACACTGGTATTCAAGTCAGCTTCTTCAAGCCATAATGATTTAATATTACTGTTTGGTTAAGCGATGTTTGGTTGTCATTAACCAAAAGCATATCATAATAACTATCTAGTGTTAATTTCTTCTGTTTTTTATTGTTAATTCTTGTTTAGACAACTAATAGGAGGCCTTCTTATGTATTATCATTTGTTTCATGTATTTGTGTATGATCTAGAAATACTACCTCCAGTCCAAAAAAGTGCCACTTTTTATAAATTGTGACAGTTTTAATGTGTGTGAGTCACGGTTTCCCAAAAGTGACACTTTTTATGGGACGGAGGGAGTATTTTGTAACCTTCTTTTTCTTTTTCTTTTCTTTTCTTTTTTATTTTTCTTTTTTTATTTTTTTTTTTAAAATACTTGCTTATTGGTCTATTATATTATTGGATTTGAAATTGTATCCGAGCCACATAAGTTAAGATCATGTGAAATCATTATGTGATTTTTATGTGAGGGCCGGAATCATAAAGATCCGGTTAATGAAAAAAGAGGACGGAAAGGAAAAGAAAAAAAAGAAACTGATTCTCAAAACCCCGCCCTCAAACATCCCCATTGGAATATTTCACAACCTTACAACCCTTTTGAAACATTCTTTGAGCAAAAAGGAAATAAAGTTCGAAACTAGCTAAAACCAAAAGCCCATTTTGAATTTTATCTTGAAAAGAAAAAGTTAAAAGAAATTAATGAAAAACAAGTGAACTTAAATCCCATCTAGGTCAAAATATAGTCCCATTAATGTCCATTTAAAGTCTATATGTAAGGTCCCAAACACACTCCAAGCAAAGCCCCTCGAAACATTTGATAAATACCCAAAAAGTGGGCTACCAGGAACCTTGGACCGGTCTAGTATATTTGGGCCAATCCAAGTGGGAAGAAGAAAGTTTAAAAAAGTGGCAATCCAACTTCCAGACTTGGCCGAATATCGTTGAATAGTTAAGTAATTGATAAGTAATGTAATTACTTTGTCCTAGCTACAAGGACAGCATCTAAAGACGACAAAATTAGCCGATAAATATAGCCATGACATGCACCGGAAGATGGGTGATCTAAGAGAGACGTTTAGATCAAGAGATGGTAGAGTCCAAAAAAGTTGTATTTTTTTTTTTTATTTTTTTTATTTGAAGTTTGTCTTTGATGAGTTTTCTTACATATGTGAACCATGTACAAAATATTTGGGGATTTTCTTGGGAGTGTTTAATGAGTCTTCTCTTTGTTGGTGGGTGAGGTTTTAGTTTGAGAAGATGAGTGGAGGAACAAAAAACGTTCTTCAATTTGTATCTTTTTCTATATAGTAATAAGGATCATCATCGCTTGTGGATGTAATCCTATTTGTGAGGGTGAACCACGTAAATTGTGTCTTATGGTGTGTTTCTTTTCAGCATTATTCATATCTTGCTGTTATTTGGATATGCCATCATTGTGTGTATATTTGTTTGGGCCACTTCCACACAACAAATTGGTGTCAGAGCTTCCCTTGTGCCCAATGAGTGGTATCAGAGCCTGGTTGCAAACTAGGGTCTTTGGGATGGCTTTCAAATCTGTGAGATATGAAATTGAGAAATTTTATGGAAGACCAACTTTTGAATGTGGCAAGTTGAGGTGAAGGATATTCTTGTTAAGGAAGGCTTGATAAAAACGTTAGATGATAATCCTGATCCAATGAAGAAAGGCAAATGGGAAAAAACATTCTATGGAAGCTTGTTCCACGATTCAATTATGTTTTGTAGCCCAAGGATTGAATCTAGAGAGAGGGGGGGGGGGGGGGGGGTGAATAGAGTCAATGGCCAATTTTCACAATTTAAAGATTTACAATTTCTAATCAACCAATTAAGCAATTATGCAATATTCAAGATATGAAAGTAAACAATTAATAGCATAATTGTAAAAACAGATAAGGTTCAGAAACTCCTACTCCTCGGCTCAAGACCCCTCTTGAGATTTCCCAATGCACTATGACTTCTCCTTATGGGTGGAGAGCAAACATTTACATGAAACAACTCCTTACTTCACATTGCTAAGAGAATAACCTTCCCTTAGTCTTCCTTTGGGTCACACCAACCCGGTAGGTCAAACCAACCCGTACAATAGATAGTAACAAGAACAATGAAGTACAAGAAATATCTCTCAAAGATTGATGTACAAGTTTAGCTCTCAACTAGAGTATATATGAATATCAATGAAGCTCAAACTTTATGAATGATATGAATGAGAGAAGATGATATAAGTGAAGAATAAATGCTCTTATGAACTCACTAAGATCTCTCAAGTATAGAATAGAGCAAAAGCTCTTTGAATCCTTAGTTGAATCTCTCAAGTATAGTATATGAATGAATAAGAGAGATAAAGAGAAAATGTGAGAACAAAAGCTCTCTTTGATGCCTAATGAGGTCAATCAAGTGTTGGCTCCCTTGCATGCCTACAATGTCCTTACATTGTGTATTTATAGGCCCATGGAAGAATATAACCGTTTGGGGGCATTATGGTAAGTTCCCAGGAAGTCAGATGGTCAAAATAGCCGTTGGAAAACTTCTGCCCATTCATCTAACCGGTTACAAGGCTTAAACTACTCGAGTAGATGAGATCCAGATCTTATCTAACCGATTACATCAGCTATGAGTGCATTTTCAGTTTTAGAGCAACTACTCGATTACAAGAGGGTTCCTGACCAGTTACAACAATTGAAATGTGAAAAATGATCTTTTCTGCTTTAGTGTAAGTAATCGGTTACAAAGACTTCCCTAACCGGTTATCACAGAGGTAACTTGAAAAATGATCTTTTCTGTTTTTGGATCAAGTACTCGGTTACAATGAGCTTTCCTAACCGGTTACAAGATGTGCTTTTTAGTTCATGCTCTCTATTCTATTTATCTACTCGTTTAGAGGAATTCTCCTAACCAGTTACATGGTCATCAGATTTTGGGGACAGTGTTTCAGATAGTTTAACTGGACAGTTTTTCTGCTGGACTTCTGCATATACCTTATTTTCATTGAAAACATTATTTATATGTCCATTTACTTTAAGTTTACAATGTAAATAAGGAAGTACCCCCCATTCGGATTCAATAAAAAATATAAGAAAATTGAAATCTAACTAAATCAAAATGTAAAAATTCAGTTTTAGTACAAATTTGGATTTCCGACAGTTTTAGTAAAAATGAATCCTTATGTAGACCAATATAGAATGGATGAAAAAATCCCATAAAAACAGTTTAGGCTATTTGAAGTATAAAGAGTTATTACCGGAAAACATTATTTTGAAATATTCATTATTTCAAAAATCCATTTTCACACTTAACCATTTTTCATACTTAGCCAAAAAGATAGTTTTTCATGAGGCACATTCAAGGGTCTTAAAGTCTGTTACCACGTTATTGTAATGAAGACTTCTCATGCCTTAATAGTTGACCAATATGAATCATATAATTGATGTGCATGGTCTTAACATTTCTCGCACAGGTGATGAGTTCTTTCAAAGTTTAAGCAAGCTTGAACTAACTCATTCTTTAGCAATGACTTCATGTTCAAATATATATGTATGAAGTATATAGTCTATTGCTAATGAATATAGGAATATATGAATGATAATGATGATATGCATAATCCTATAGAGATGAGCTTCAAATGGATTCATATATACCTTGACATTAAATCCTAAACACTCACCAACCTATCTACCCCTTTCTTCATGCTTTGTCCATGATCGTTTAAGTTTTGAGGTACTTTTGCTTTCTTCCTTTCTTTGAGTACTTGCTTGCTCATTGTAGTCCAAGCTATCTTTGGATGGACTTTGCATTTGGTTCTTTGCAACTTTAACTCTTCTTTGTATCCATTTCTTTTATTGATGTGATCTTGAATAATAGAATACTTGGGATGATCTTTATAGCTTCATTGAGGTCATTTTTTGAATGTGAACTATATAACACTCAATGTAAACATTAGTCCTTAAACACCATTAATGGTTTGTTATCATCAAAACATCATTGGATGAAATCTTTAAGGTCAACAATCTCCCCCTTTTTGATGATGACAAAACATTGATACGTTCATAAACAAGTGGAGTAGCATTTTAAAAATGCTCCCCCTATCAAAGTGCATTCAATGAACATAATGTTATAAAATTGCATGCTTGATATATCATAAATCATTTTAGACCACATAAACATGCATTTTAAATCATTTAACACATCACATTTATCTCCCCCTTTGGCATCTCAAAAAGGTGGGAGGCCTAAATAACTTCATTAAGCATTTATCATTTAGCATAGTGAAGTAATGATTATTGTGAAATGGCAATAGTAGTATTAATGACTATAATATGCTTTGGAATGAAACATGTAAGCAATTATATCAAAAGAAGCCAATTTCATTGATAACATGAGTTCAATATGTGAGATATAAATTTGTTTTGGCAATTCTCATTGACATAACAAGTCCAAGTTAAGTTGTAATTGTAATAGTTGTTTTACAAGTCATCGAGGTCGACAGGGACTATAGAATTAGGAAGAGGTTTGAACTTACCATATTTGAAGAGGTTATGAAGAAAAGGGTAAGAACACCATTATAGGAAGGAATATGAACAAGGTTGGACATTCTACACTTTCCATGTTGGTCTGCAATTTTCGTAGAATGAACTAAGGTTAGAAGAATTCGAAAAATCCGAGTCTGCCAACCTTGAATCGGTTCAGCTTCCATGAACTGCTTCAAGATGTTTAAGTTTGATACACTGCCAAACTTGAACCGGTTCAGCCTGAACCGGTTCAAGATTTCCTGTTTACAATACAACTTCAGTTTCCTTTTTCTAAATAATTTCCCAGTTGGTCTAGAATTATACCAAATCCTATGCACGAAATTTACCTTATTTTTAGAAGGATTAGATCATTCTATACTCTATATAAACCATGTCATATACATTGATTTATTCACGGCTTTTACATTATTAAATAGATTTTATTCAAAGCCTTAGGAAGATTATTTTTGCAAAAAATCGGAGTTGATTTTTCTGATATCTTTCTAGAACACATACACATAAACACAGAGTTTAGAGTTGTGGTGTTTGAATCTTGATCGCGATCATACGGTTGTATTAACATCGATTAGGCAAAACAATTTTTTTACATCATTCAGATAATTGAAGAATAGAAGTAAACGCAGTCACACTTTGAAAGGGTTGGAGCATTCTTGGAGTGCTATCGGAACTACCTACTACTCTTCTATAAGTATCAAGTGTAAGTTTGAGGTCGAGTTACTGTTGGACGGGGAGTCACAAAGCTAAATGATTCTCAGCGATTGGTGTGGTGTAGAACGATAGAGTGTGAGC